CATCTGAGGTTCTTCATTTTTCTGAGGAAATCTCAGGTTTACCCAAGAGCAACATTTCGGTTTCATCTATCTCTAGTGTCTTACAGACAGTGCCTATCCGTGGTTAACCAAGAAATATATTTATTCGTCACACAATAGGCTTGATGCTTCTCCTGAAGACTAACATGGGAAGACTTGGTTCCCACATCCTTGATCCTACAGATAGGGTGTGCACAGGAGGAAGTGCTAAACAGAATCTGCATTCTCTGTTTTACACGAGATCTGAGGAAGAGAAAGCAGAAAAATAAACAAAACAAACAAACCACAGAACAGAACAAGGAAGAAAAAAAAAGCAATAGGATGGGCTGAGAATGCTCCACAAATTCCCAAAGGTATTTGGTTCCTGTTTCAGAATGTACAGCATTTAGATACTTTTACTGAACTGTAGTGACCTCTGTGATTCTCTGCAGCAATAGCATTTCACAGTGCTTAGCTAGCTTCCCGCTATGCATCTTATAAAGAACCAAAACACACAAGACCAAGATTAGGATCAGTCTTCCTCTTGTAAAATCTTGGATGACTGCATAGATACTCATTGAAAAACAAAATAACACTGAATGAGAGAAAGACCAAAGAATACTACATTCATATCTAGTCAGCTTAAAACATCAACAAAACAGGCACAGGTCTGCATATAGCTGACTGTAGAGTTGACTAGAGTGTAGAGTAGCCTTTATATGTTTGGTTCAAGGTCCCTTTCAAACCAAATCATTCTCAGTCTAATTTTATGGATCTGAATGCTAGAAGTTGGATGACTAAGGAAGGATTTTGATACAACTAACTTACTTAAGACCACATGAGACATCAAGGGAGGAGCATGTTAGCAGAACCAGGGAAAAGCTGGCAGGAAGAGAGGGCTGTATGGTAGTGGAAGTATATGGTATACAAGCAAAAACTCTATTATGATTCAGAGAAAGTACTGTTAGTAGGCTTATATTTCTAAAGGAGGAGTTCTGCCAAAACCAGCACAAAACAGAGCAGTTAACACAAATGAGATTTAAGTGTTTCAATAAATTGTATTGAAAGTCATTGTCTCTCAGCTGTGGTGTGAGCACCCAGAAAGTGTTTGTTTCTACTCCATTACAATAGGAATGAAATGAACTAATATAAACTGCTATTTCACATACCTATGAAATCAGCAGGAAATCTATGGAGCAAAGGTGACAGGGAGGAATGGGGAGAAGTCATATATATATATAGAGAGAGAGAGAGGGGGAGAGATGGAGAGGGAGAGAGAGGGAGAGAAAGAGAGGGAGGGAGAGAGGGAGGGAGAGAGGGAGGGAGAGAGGGAGGGAGAGAGGGAGGGAGAGGGAGAGGGAGAGGGAGAGGGAGAGGGAGAGGGAGATCACAGCTGGATGTCACTTGCTGGTAATTCTTAAACCAATACTCCAACTGTTAAGAAACAAGACAAACCCAGAATACAGTAGGGTCAGATTTATCCCACCTAACTTCACTCACTTATCATGTCTGGCATAAGATACATGCGAATACTGCTTTTGTAGATAATAAGAGACAGACATGCATCTCCTGAGGATGACATCACCCACCCTAAAAACAGTTGTCAGGGATACAGATGGATCTAAGATGAGGTTCTTAAAGTCACTGAATGCCCTGATTTATTCTTCAAAAGTGACAGTGACCTGCCAGCACATCTTCAAGTTTTGAATTCCTTGAGCTTCCTATTGCTGTCCTCTCCAAGGGCTGTGTGTCCCAGCCTCCCCTGTGATGGAAGCCCAGGAAACTAACTCAAAGTCTGTGGTTTTCTGCACACGAGCAGGCTGCAAAGGTTAAACACTGACACAACTACACATCCATACCTACAACATCTGCTGTCTGGACCTGCTTTCTCTCAGCAAAGAGCACATGTGTTAAACACGAGATGTGGAAGGGAGGAGAAGGGGCAGTTCTCATGGCTCACACATTGTACCTGCAGCCAAGGGCATGGGAAGCATCATGGTAAAGTTATCCACCTTTATCCAGAATTCAGACTTTACCAACAGTTCCATAATAATACTCCATAATTTAACAAGTATTTCATTTAATTCCGTAAAATTCCATAATCATACCATCCGTTTTGTCTGTGGATGTATCACAAGCTGCAAATTATCATTTTATTCCAGGATGCTTTGAAAGAAGCTTGTGATGAATGAGCCATACAAGGAGACAGTCAAGCCCCAGGACAAGCATCATTAGCACTCAGCTTAACCAGAGCTGAGAAACAGCAATAGGAACATACTTTGGGCACTTACTAGCTATCTTTTCAGTATGACTTACCAGCAAGAAAACAGAAAGGTTATACAACTGATCATCTTGCACTAAGCTTTTGCTATGGCACAGAGGGAATGCACACTGGTGTTAGGGTACATGCAAAATGAGCCTTATACCAATATTAGAACACGTGAGATCACCAAACTTCCACAGACAGGGCTGTAGGACTCCAGCCCACAAAACTCCTCCAAAACAGACTTCACTGAACATAAGCTAGCTACACAGAACAACAGCCTAGGAGGCCACAGCAAACGAGAACTACAGAGGGGAAAAACTTACCACAGGGCAATTTTTTTCATCCCACCTTAAGAGTGGTGGAAAACTGAAGTAGCAACAGGCTTTCTAAGGACACCTCAAGGATGACAGGATGAGAAAACTGGGGCTGTTCAGCCTGGAGAAGGGAAGGCTGCATGGAGACCTCATAGCAGCATTCCAGTATCTGAAGGGGGCCTATAAGGATGCTAGGGAGGGACTCTTCATTAGGAACTGTAGTGACAGGATAAGGGGTAACGGGTTAAAACTTAAACAGGGGAAGTTTAGATTGGATATAAGGAGGAAGTTCTTTACTGTAAGGGTGATGAGGCACTGGAATGGGCTGCCCAAGGAAGTTGTGAATGCTCCATCCCTGGCAGTGTTCAAGGCCAGGTTGGACAGAGCCTCGGGTGGCATGGTTTAGTGCAAATAGTCCCTGCCCATGGCAGGGGGGTTGGAACTTGATGATCTTAAGGTCCTTTCCAACCCTGACTATTCTGTGATTCTATGATGAATCTACAACTCACAAAGCTTCTGTTGGAAGGACTGACTTTTTCTCAGCTGGCTCATGCTCAATACAGCTGGTGACCCTTCCGCTCAAGGCTGTAGACAGTGACTGTATACATACATGTACATATCATATCAACATGTACATACTATATCAGTGAGCAGAAGTGGGGGAGCATCTTTTCTCTTAATGGAGAGACACCTTCTCTCTAGCATCAATGGCTGACAAGTACCAAAAAATTAGAACATCTCATTTAAGGAGTGATTCCAGGTAGTGTTCAGCAAAACACAAGGCTGCTACACTGCTTGGGCACAAACTAAAGACAGAATTCCCAGTAGGGCTGCTGAGGTCAGTATGGTTACTTCCCTGTGAGGCATCAGGCATGTCCTTTAGGGCCTTTGGTTGAAGCTCTCTCTTCCATTTTGTTGCAACTTTATTAGAGTTGCAAGCGGGTTTAGAAGGCATTCAAGTAAAGCAGCAAGTACCTTACACCTGCTTAATGTTTACCTTTGCCACTGTTTTTTCCTAGGTTGCATGGTATATGTAAGATGAGAGAATCAAACTAAAAGGAACAAAGAATGTGCATGTATATACAAGTGAACCAAGCAGCATCTTCTCTACCTGCAGATTGTTCCTGGGGTTACAGACCAGCTATTACAGCCTAGGAGCCAAGTATTATAGCTCAGTTCTTAGCTCAATCTTAATTTGCCTGAGGAATCTTAGGGAACTAACTTCCACATGCTGCGTTTCCCCATGCAAAGCAATTAACATTGATGTTATCAAGAATTTGGAAAACTGGAATTAACCAGCTGAGGTGAGGCCTGGAGGTAAGAGCAGGGGAAACTTCAGGCTTGCATGAAGGACACCTGCTCGAGTCTCTGCCCTGACAGCTATCTGCATCACTGTGTCACAGTCTCAGGCATCAGGCAGCTTGGTGCTTACCCATCAACACCAGGGCCGGCTGGGTCTCCATGGGCTTTTTCTACCAGGCTCCAGAGTGTAAAGCATAAGAGGACCTTTCTGCTCAGAGGCTCTGGACAATGATGCTGGCACAAGTGCTGCTTCATGTGTGGTCTGGAGGTCCACAGATTGCTTGGAAAATATTTGCAGGTGCTAAAATCACTGCTATGCAGCAATGTTGTCCAGTAAGTCAAACCACTTTATCGCAACATAGAAAGGACACCTAAACCTGGGTAACAGGACTAGCACAGACAAACAAAAGGACAATTTTGATAGAGGTACAATTGGAACAAGTTCACAGACCTGTTATCAACACCACGTTTTCACAGAAGTGCAATGAACTGTTTTCTTCATTCTTATAAATTGTGCCTCTTTGCCTGGTTACTTTCATAGGCTCCATTCTTTATACTAGAAAGACCATGCCACAAAACAAACAAACAGACAAACAAACAACCAACAAAACAAAAAACTTAAGAAACTCTCATTCTTCTTTGAAACCATGCATTTTAGTTATGTCTGACTGGCAAGAGGGCTAATGTATCTGGCTCTGTATGTAAAAGTGTGTTCGCTCTTCCTTTTTCCAGCAGTGATATCAGCTTTGTCCATACCAAATGATGGAGAAAAAAGAAGAGTTTTGACAAACTCCACCACACATAGGGAATAGGAGTGATAGCCCACCAAAGCTACACATTAAAGTGACCATCTATAGCCACTGGAAAAAGACAAGGAGTTTTTGTTTCCACCATCCTTTAGCTCAGAGTTCCCCTTTTAAGTGTTCCACTGTCAAGGGGGTAGCTCTGAAAGTTACTCTGTGCCTCTGCAGTGCAGCTCAGCTACAGCTCTTAAATGGAGGTGTGAAGGGACAGGAACATTTGGTAAAGTTTCCACTACAGAACAAGAGCTCTCACTTTTTGCAGCTTGAAATAAACCCTCCCTGCAACACAGAAGCAAGTGCGACCACAGCAGGGTTTGTGCAGGAAAAAACTTCACAGGGGGGCTAGTGAAGGATGGGTGCAGGAAAGAAGGTGGTTCTCTGTCACCAGAAAAAGTACTGCCACTCAATTTTTTCCACTTACAGTCAGCCCCACCATGACACCCCCAAAGTGAACACAGGAACTGACCACTGAATGACAACATATAAACTCTGTGAAAGAGGGCTGACAGTAGCCACTTTCTTCCCTGCTGTGACAAAGAAGACACCAGCAATGAAACTCCAGACTGCAGCTATCCTCCTTGTCTTCTGGCTTGGCATGCTCGCTGTGCACGAGGTGAAAGGTAAGTTTACAACCCAGGAGGAAGGTCGGAGTTGCTCCACACTGCACCAGCAGTCTGATGAGCAGGATTCATTCACAGACAGAGCTGATTCATAAGACAAAATGCAGAAGAAATCCAGGTTAGAACCACAGGAAAGGCAGCTTTGTGGGAAATTTCGTCTATGTCCTGCCAATTAGAGGTTTGCTTCTGCTTTAATGCAAGGAGAGTTTCTGTGTGTAGAACACTTAAAGGGTTTCTGTGCATTATTCTCCCTCTGAAAATAATGAAATCTTGAAGACACAATGTCTTTTAATCTCACTGATGCCATATAAGCAATGAGGTCTATAGGTTAATAACATTTTATGCTAAATATTTCCTGAATAAAATGTACTTGTTTTTTCTTTTTCCAGATACGCTACTTTTATATGGATTTTTATTATATTATTTTTTCTTGGTCTTTCTCTAGCTATATAGGCTTAATCCCTCTAACGCCCCTGTTTAAAAAAGTTCTTCTAGTTCTGTATCACATATTGCCTATTTGCTTGTTTCTAGCCAAATATTTTAGTTCAGAGGCAAACTATGAAAAAAAAACTGCAAGGGAGAGCAATGGATTTGTACAAGGTCTTTTCTGTCTTCCTGATTTCATGCAATTTATCATCTTGTTTGAGACCATTTACGAGCATAGAGATGAGCCATGTTTACTAGCCATGCTTTATATAAATTTGTCTGCAGTGATGGTTAGGCCTGTGACTTCTGAGTTAGGTTATGCATATCATGTGAAAACACACACACATAAGCATATCTTCTGATACATAATCAGATTCAAAAACACATAAAACACAAACAAAAATCACAGAAAATACTTGCAAGCTATATGCAAACCCACAAAAATAAGCAAGGAGAAGCACACAGAAAAGGCATCTTCACAAAACCACACCAAAACCAAACTGAGACCTGCTAAGCATTCTCAAGATTATGTAGCTACACAGTGAGGAGGTTGACCTACAGCTACATCATATTACATTCATATATGTTGATGAACACTACTGTTGTTCATCTCAGCAACACATGGCTTCGATCACAGATTGTCAGTCTGTAATGTCATTCTTCAGGTTGCATAATTTGCCACAAATATCAGCAAGTCTGAAAAAGCAGAAAAGGGGGTGTGCAAGGGATAGAAGATTAGAAAGAAGAACAATAAAAAACAAAACAAAACATACAAAAACCAAAACAAACCACCAGAAAAAAAGGGACGTTATAGGTGTGGAGCAGTTTTGTTTTGTTTTCAGGCTTACAGAAGCTCTGCTGGTATTACCTGAATGTATTCCCTGCAGATAGTTTAGTAGTGGAAAGAATATTTCTACCACTGTTAAGGATTGCTTGTCTATCTTTGAGCTCTTTAACAGCACATTTTGAAAACCATTCTGAGGCAGTAAAGTACATATTGGTAATGAATCACCAAAAAAAAAAAAAAAAATACATTGTGTTGCTTGTGACCAAAGCAAGATCAGAAGAGATATTCCTTCAGGCAAACAAAATCCCAAGGATTAGCAACTCTGCTGGTACCCATGCAGGAGCTATGCTACAGCTTCTCCGAAGGCTGATGTGTGTTTGTCAGCTACTCCAATTATTTCAAAAAAAAAAAAAGCTCACAGATAATGAGATTACATGAAGCAGGTTTTATATTTAGCAAGTGTTACCTCAACAGATATTGGACTTTTCTAAAGCCAGTTTCTCTATAAATTCTTTAAAAAGAAACCTCAGAATATTGCGGTGTTCTGTTTGTCTCCCTATGCCTTCTCAAATGTGTCTTTGATGGGTGGGAGAAAACCAGAAACTAGCAAGTGAGGTTTCCAGTTACATACACATATAGTTCATCTCACTTAAATGAGCTCCCATTTTTAGTTATCATCATGTAAGGTAACAACTGCCCAGAGAATTTGACACTGATATCATGATCCTCTTTATTAATCACCAGTGCATTTCCCTGAAGTGTATGAAAATCTTAGAGGAAAGAGAGAACTAAGTAACACATCATTATGAAACCAGGCTTATAGCAAAAGTATGTAAGCACTCAGTCTTCTGACAGATATACCTCCCTTTCAACAAATTCTTAATTTTGGATGTCTAGTGCCAGACAAGTTTTGGATGCCCAGTGTGAGACAAGTAGCCTTGCTCTCCTTCACTTGGAAACTAAGGGGAATTACTGATTTATTTTCAGATGGCATTTGGAGATCCATCCAGTAAAGGTGTCAATTCTAAGCACTGCTCCATAAGGACACTTATTTGCAGATGATACAGATCTAATTATGAATGATGCCAAACACTTTTTCTATAGAAGCAGTGACTCCTAGGGGCAGAATGATGATACAATTGTTCAGGAGAACAGTTGAAGGTTAGTATCTTAATTGAAATAGCAGTAACATTTCAGAAATGATAGGATGCATGCCAAAAAATACCTTGAGGTCTCCTGTATAACTGGGTTTCATGGCTGTACATCATGAGACACTCATGTTCTAACCACAACTGGAAATCTGCTGGAATTCATAATTTACCGAGTAATTATGGCTAAATATCAATACAGCATTGACTGTCTTTGCCATTTATCTATTTTTCCCCTTCCAGGGAGTGCTGGAAGTCAGCCCATGCGCAGATTCAGTTGTGTACGTCTGTCTACAAGGCAACTGAACATTCGAAATCTTGCCAGCTATGAAAAGCAACAAGTTCCAGTAAACGCCACCCTGTAAGTATCCAGTGCACAGTTCACCTTCAGACTTGTCTAAGCAAACACACTATCAGGGAGAACGGAAAGGGCATCTGACGACACTTCATGGCCCAATTCACTAAATCTGGCTAGTTCAGATCACCCTTCCATGAGGCAGTCACCTAACAGCTGAGGGAGTGAGGGGAGAGGAGTGGGTCTCTGAGAGGTGGGAGATGTTTGCTGCTCATAAACGCCAGCAGAAATTTCATTGAACAAACAGCCAGATCTTTCCTGACCGGAAAGTGGGGAAAAATCTCAGTGAGGGGTCAGGGTGGAGCAGTCAGAAGCCCAGTTGCACTGATTTGAGCTAAGGAGAAAGATCATGGGGTAGAGTTTGGGGTAACTCTGACTCCTGCTAGGAGATGTATTTGGTTTTTGATCTCTTGAGCATGCATCGAACCTAGGATCTGCTCCTGGAAGGTAAATGTGACGTAAATGTGTATCATGATTTCATATAATCTCAGAATACCAGAATACCATGCTCCCTTTTTTAGAGTCAATAAATAAGCACATGACAATAAATAGGGAACTAATGCTGCTAACTGCTGTTATTTCAACTAAAAACTACAAACTCCAGCATGTAATAGGGTTTTACCACATTGTTCCTCTAGTTCTACATAAAAAATAAGACCAGCAAACCTGGGTTTGGAGACTGGAATTTAATGGCCACCTGGTTTGTTTTCTTTCTTCCCATAGGTTTATAACCACAAAAGGTATCAAGATCTGTGTAAACTCTAATCAGAAATGGGTGCAGACTGCTATGAAGAAAATAGACCAAAAACGTGCCATCAAAGACAAATAATCCTGTCCTAGGCAAGCATCTAAGGCCAGCTAAATGGAATCATCTTCAGTGCTGCACATAACAAAGAATAAAGCCTTAGTATTTGCTTTTCATTCCTACTTACTAATTGGCAATAAAATCTCTGAAGAAACAGAAACTCACCAGAATCTCACTGTTTGAATGTCTGCCAACTTGTTTGTTTTATAGATGGACTCTGTTCACTGTTTATCTTCTGAAATGCTTGCTACTATTTATTTACAAATGAGTGTAGATACCTTCTCATCCTTGGTGTCCTGACCAGTATAGCATTTATAGGTGAATGGCAGATAGCTTCACATACTGTAGGGAAGAAGATGACCTCCACAGAGCTGAATGAGAGTAGACCTCCATCCTGATGGAGGTCAGAGTGTTTTGCATTAAGTGCTGGGTTTGAGAAGGTGCTAAATAATTTAATGGTTGCTCATACCTTTATAATGTTTAAGTAAAGTAATCTCATGCTTCAGGCTACCACATGGTCAGTGCAATATTCGGGAGATGATCCTTGGACCTTCCATTTTTATACACAGCATTGTACTATTAGCTCAGTTGACAATGATGTTTGGATCCTCTCACCAGGGGATGATGTGAAGTAGTTCAGTGTAACTCTGAAAGGTTACTTCACTTTCACCCTCATGTGAAACAAATCTGAAATAATTGTTTTACTTTCTTCTTTGCTTTTCTCTGAACAAGCAAGAACAAACCGTCTAGAATCTGTATTTCACAAACTCATAGTAACTCTCTGCCCTAGAGATCTGTGTATATGTAAATGCCTTATATTTTTAAAATTGATAAATTCTACTAACAGAAGGTTTTGAATTTTAATAAAGTTACTATAAACCTGGAATCAAGTGGTACATTTGTCTGCTTGTATGTAATGCAGATGGAGACTGTTGAAATGGGTACCAAGATAAGAACTTAAGAGCAAGCCAGCTAGAGCTGACACTACTGCCAACTCATGACTCAGATTGTTCAAAAGCAATCTGATCTTGAGCTTTCTACACCATACTCCAGCAGTAAAGCCCATTTTTCAGACAATACCTCTTCAGAATTTTGGGTACTTAAAAGTCAGACTTTATATGACACAAGGATGACCCCCACATTATGAAAGCAGACACAGAAGCGCTCTGGGCAAAGAAGAAAAAACTGGTGTTGAAGGAGCATGAGGGGTGGAGAAGAAGTGCAGGCAGAGAAGCTTCAGCAATAAACTTCCTCTTACAATACTGCATGTATGTAGCCTGCACTGCTGGCTAAACTATGGGCTTCTAACCACAAATAACCTCTTAGTGATACATATGAAACTACAGCACTTCCAAACTGCACTACAGAAATAAGATTGTGTTACTGTAAAAAGCCAGTCTTTACAGTTCCCTGCTTTGGTCAAGTTTGAAGAGGGGATTTGTCTCACATTTTGTCACAGCTCAGTCCTGTGTAGGGAAATGCATTTAGTTTTCACTAACCAGGACAGGTTATAAATGCTCAGGCAGGGAAGATAAGGATGACTGTATGCATTACACTGCAGAACAGAGCCAAGGCAGGCTACTGGGCCTCCATTATACAAAGTGATGATTCCTTACTGAAGTTCTCAATATCAAACACACTAGAAAAGAACTAGTTGTCGCTACAAACTTTGTAGGAAGAGCTTTACAGGTGGAAAGAAATGTTGAGATAAGATGTTTCTGGAGTATGGCAATATATAAACTGGGGTTCATGCATTTTGAATCACCAATCTCAAGGCCCCTGTCCCTCACAGACAACAGAAACACTTCTGTTGCCTTCAGCATCACCAGAAGGCTACAAAACCAGGTCTCCTATAAAAGCATTTTATGGGAAGCTCTCTCAGATTAATATCTTCAGCTTTCACTGATCAAATTCATCCAGGACCAGAATTAATGAACATGCTTTTGGCAGGCAGAATTGTAATGCCTTCCTCATACTCAGTAGTGTCTTATCCTGGAATTAATCTTGCTGAAGTGAATATAATTTTTTTTTTTTTAATTAGGAATATCACAAGCTGAGGATATATTAATTAACCATCACATAGCAATTAATACTTTATATCTGCTCACCCTCATCACAGTTCATAGCAAGATTAATAATAATTTTTAAAAGTGAATTGTCCTACTTAATAATTACGTCTTGTTTGTTATACATTGCAAGATCTGTAATGAACCTTGTATACTTCTTGGGAGTTAATTACTATAGGTGATTAGAGCTCTTAACATCTCTTCCTACTCACCTATTACACCTCAGGGACTTCTTTGTATCTCCTTCACTGTTCCTTATCCCAGGCCTTGCTGCAGTCCCCGTTGTGTGCTATTTTTGTCATCTCTAGCTGCGTATAATCTGGAAGCTTATCTGTAATGGCACTGCTCCTGCCTAGCACTTATCCCTGAGGTTCTCAAATTGCTTTAGAAAGAATGGAAAATATGATTAAACCTCCTTTTCACACACACACAAAAGGAAAGCACAAAATGAAGAACTAGTGTGCTGCTCTTGTGTTGGAGGCAAGTAAGAACCATAGTCTCTGTCCCTCCAACATTCTTAGGAAACATCTCACTTGGAAAAACAGAAAGTTTGGCTCCAAGTTACACTTGAAAACCTGGGGCTGTGGCTGCACTGATTTTCTCCCTGCACCCGGCTGTCCACCATTTCTTCTCCAAATGAGGCAGGAAGCAGGGGGCTTCCCTTCCTGCTCATCCTTTGCTAGATTGCAGCCTGTGATATGAACTCTGATTTCCTTTTACTCCTTTTGCAAGATCTGTGCACCATTTTGCTAGAAAGGACCCTCCTAATACACACAGCAGACCAGGGAGCAGCAATATTTGAAACAAATCAAATTATTTCTCCACTGTTGCACACCACTCTCACAGTTTCCAAAGGGACTGAAGAGATGCACTGTGTTCAGATCTTTAGCATAGGGGAGAGACAGCACGAGAGCACAGTGGACAACCCCTGAACCTGTGTGAGTATTCACAGCCTCGTTAACTTCAAGAGAGGCAGAAAGGACAACTACACATCCCTTTCATCACCCCAGTGATGAGCTAGGACATTCCTTGATTAGACTTTTTACATGCCTTCAGACTACCATTTGTGCTTTGCTTTATGCTGGAGGTTCTCATCAGCTGATTACCTATTTTAACAAATTGCTTAAAACCCTACATGGAAAGAAGGAAAGGGAAGAGGACTGGGTAGCTGTGTACAAATATTAATGTATCACTGATGCTATTCTCCCAAACATTGGTACGTGACAAGTAAGGCATCTTAATTCAGCAAATACAAAGGTTTTCTTTACTCTCATCCCTGTGGAAAAATGCACCACATAGATTTTGGAAAGCTAAACCTTAGGTTTTTAGCTGAAAATTAATTATTACTTAATCCAAATTATTGCAGGTTACTACAGCAGATGCCAATTCAAATTTTATGGCAAGCCAGTACAGGAGAAGGTGAGGGGAAAGGTGGGCATAACAAATAGGAAAGAAGCGACAGGGAATTGTTTCAGAAGAAAGTAATGCAACGTAGTTGTCAATAAAGTCCTTAATAATTCACAGTAATTCACAGTATTTCAGCAGCTCACTTGCTCCCTTTGAATTACCATCTCTGCTCTGTGGCATGTGCACTAGGGCAAGCTTCTTATCACCTTGGAGAAACCGAAGCTTGAAAGATGTGTATAACCCTGGAAGCCCCAAGCTATACTCTTCCACTAGCAAAGTTTTATGAATGAACAAATTGAAAACATCCAAAATCACTACACTGAAAGTGATTGTCAGTGTAATTCAGAATACACATTTTAGCTGGGCATTTGATCTGGCATGATTCATCACAGCATGATGAAACTCTATATAGTACACTCTATGATCAGCACCACCACTGCTGCATGCCCCAGGGAGCCAATCTCTTCTCTACGTATGTCTAAGGCCCTTCCTGCAGCACTTCCTGACCTGTTCCAAGGGCATCCTTCTGACTCCCCTTAATGCTTACCACGATGCCTGTGCATTTCCTAACACCAAGAGCGATTTCTGTCTGCCTTTTCCCACCCCATGCTATCCGCCCGCAACTTGTGTTTTGGTTACGACACCTGAGAAGAGGCAGACCTGCCAGGACAACCCCTACAGAGGCTGCCCAGGAGATCTAAAAGAATATTCTGCTGTCACATCATGATTTACTGTTCCCCCCCTTTCACCTGACAGTTAAAGGCAGCAGAAAAAGGAGAACTTGTGCAACAAAGAGCTAATGGAAAAGCAGAGAAGAAAACCTATATTTCACGTCATCCTTCTTACCCTAGAAAACATTAAAACAACTGAACCAGGAGGTTCACAGTGGCAAAACCTAGTGTTTCCATATTAGTATAATCTGCCTGTATTTCTACATTCCCAACAGCAAATACTGCAAAAACAAACAAACAAACAAAAAACAAAACCACAAACTTTTCTGCTAATCATTTCACCATTATTAGAAATAAGATACATCAGCCCGTAAAATACCCCACCTAGAAAATGGAGCAAACCTCAGACACATTTTATAGCATCCCATCTCTGATCTCCAGAGAGTTTGAGGAGCCTACTGTTCGAAGCAGTAAATTACTACCCCAGAATGAGGTGGCAATTTAAATGAACCTTCTAACTTTGGACAGCTCATTTGAGACATTTCCAGAGCATGTGCTGGTTCCAGTACTGCTTATAGCCTCTACTCTGTTTCTTTAAAGAGACCACAGAAAACAGAGTTGCACAGTAGTCCCTTTCCTGCAGAAGTTTTGAGTTTCCTTCCTTTCTGGCTGTGGCTTAGAACAGGAGAGTCTAGAACAAATTACTATGCGTTCATTATGCAAAGAAAGAGGCTGCTTCTGTCACAAGACACAAGAAAAGGACTTAAAAGATACAAGATCATGTCCTGCACTACTACTGACTTAATTGTTTATTTTTGTGCAGTGGCTGTCACTTGATTTCAGCTCATTGTTATGCATCATAATGACTATTTCTTACATTAAGCCCTTAAAAACTGAAGGCAAAAAAACCTGGTATTCCGCAATGGTATAACACTGACTCACAAAAACCCTCAAGTGATAACTGCCTAATGCCTCTATGTTGTGAGAAAAAATGCAGCCTTCCAGTATCTGAAGTGGGCCTATAAGGATGCTAGGGAGGGACTCTTCATTAGGAACTGTAGTGATAGGACAAGGGGTAACGGGTTAAAACTTAAACAGGGGAAGTTTAGATTGGATATAAGGAGGAAGTTCTTTCCTGTTAGGGTGGTGAGGCACTGGAATGGGTTGCCCAGGGAAGTTGTGAATGCTGCATCCCTGGTGGTGTTCAAGGCCAGGTTGGACAAAGCCTTGGGTGACATGGTTAAGTATGAGGTGTCCCTGCCCATGGCAGAGGGGCTGGAACTTGATGATCTTAAGGTCCTTTCCAACCCTAACTATTCTATGATTCTATGATTCTAAGAAAATGTCTCTGTTAGGGCTCCAACCTGTCTCCAGGATCATCCTACCCCTTTCCATAAACAAACCTGAGCAGGAATTGCCATGCTCACCTGTTGCCAATTCACCTGGCTGCTTTTCATGAAGTGCTGGCTGGTTCTAACATGAGTATCTCTCATGAGGGACACCCTGTCTGCTCAGAAGGACCTACTGTAATTATACCAAACAAGTTAAGCAACTAAATCAGCAAAATATTGCAGATTTCCATTTCTAGATATTTATTATGCTAGAAAAAAATTAGTAATATGATTACAAAAATTCCCTCTAAGGCATATGTTTTATGGGCTCAGATTTAACATTTTAAGTGAAAAATCATCCAACTGGAGAAAAATAGCTGGGGTAAACGTCACTTTTTAAACTCAAACTGGCTGATACCTCCCTACTGTGACTACTTG